TGACTACACAAACATCTAATTTGAACTAGTGCTGCATTCAACATACCATGTGTCACACAAAAATTAATGTTTATCTGTGATTTTTAATATTTTCTTATAAAAATGGAAATTGAGTAGTATATATTACTAAAATTTGAATTATAATCTACCGTTTGATACCAAAGTTATTGACATAAGTTCATGAAATAGTAGTTCAATAAACTTTTGAATGCGAGTCAACAAACAAGATGGCATGGCCTTCCATCTATAACCCGTCTTGAAAAGATTAATGTTTTCATTAAACAAAGTTAAGAAAACAAATTTTACACTTATTAATTTCACTACATGGAATGTTTCAGAACAGTGCAAAATTGTTCAGTAGTTGGTATAGTGTTATTTACATATCTGGAAGATAGAGCATACAATAAATATGTCCTTCACTAGATGGGAAATTTCAGAACAGTGTAAGATTGTTCACTAGTTGGTATAGCATTATTCACATTACTGTCTCTCTTGAAGATAGAGCACAGATTACTACAGTAACCATGTCCTCTAGCAAACATGTCACAAATCGTTACAATGCCAGACCTTGTATTGTTACATTTACAGTAGAGATGAGTTTTTAGAAAATATACTGAAGATCAATGCACTGTGTCATCTAGAAGATAGATCCTTTAATGCACTCTGCCATCTAGAAGATAGGCCTCTGATTAACACAACATCTGTTCTTCAGAAAACATACCATAAATATTTCATTAATTAAGGGCACCAGATAGAATAATACAGAGTAGTACAATAGTGTCTTTTCCATTTAACAGCCATATCGTAAAACTATAATTATTGACCATTAAATGGGCAAGTCAATAAAATGTTATTCATATAGTATCGGGTACAAATGAGTACATAGTTGTGTCCATTAGATGATTGGCACAGATATATTAATAGCCCAAGATTGATTTAATAACTTTATCTCTAAGAAAAGGCATGGAGTGATATAATAATGGCCCATTGGATGTCAGTTCACTTATTGTTATTTGTGATAAAGAATACCATATTTCAAGCTGTAGAATACTTCTTGTTCAATACATGTCAGCAACACATTTGTGGCTACTTATGACATAGTCTTTATAATATTAATGGCTTTTGAACTCTGTTTTATGATGTTTACCCTTCAACAATCTGTGTGCATGAAAATTCAACCTTTTATTATAATAATAATATGTGCAAGTATATATGAGATAATAGCTAATTGTTTAGTTGTTATTACATGCATTCCCTCTAGATGGCAGCTCATGGTCTTCATCAAGAAGTAAGGCAATGGTCGAGCAAGGATAATGAAATTGTAGCTGCTGCTAAGAAGATGGCTTTGTTAATGGCAAACCTTAGTCAGTTGGTTAGGTGAGATGGCTGATCATTAATAAAGTTTAAATATTAAAGGATCAATTGCAAAGGCTAGAGATGTAAAATGGATGTTAGAAAATCGTCAAAGTATTTTGCATTATATCTCTGATCTGTAGTACTTGTATCTTTTGCAATGCTGACTTTTATACTTATCTATTAGGATATCACATAAAAAATCTCTGGGGTTAAAAGGACAAATAGCATATTTGCTACTGGCTTTATAATTGTGGGGCTAGCATCAGCTTTTTTCAAATAGCTAGTAATTTTGTATTACCATGTAGTTAATTGCTAATTAATCTTTTCATTATAATGTTTTGATAAATGTAATACTTAATATAATACCTAACAAGTCTTTTCTTTCAATGAGGGAGTGGTACAGGTTTGATGTTTTGAGTAATATAATATTCAAATACACCTATTTACATGTAGTATCATTAATCATTGTTTGGCCATCCTTGCATTGGTGAAATGTTGTACAGTTAATAAAGATATACTAGTTAGTGAAAACATTATGATGAAATACAAAAGAAGTTCATTTAGAAGTGAAAGATATCCATACTTTTCCCTATAATAATTTTTCTTAAAAATAACATTCACTCCCATTTCTTTTGCAATGGCAGAGGAGAAGGAGGCTCCAAGAAAGATTTAATATCATGTGCCAAAGCTATTGCTGAAGCATCTGAAGAAGTAACCAGGCTAGCCAAGGAACAGGCACGAATTTGTACAGATAAAAGAATGAGAACAGTCAGTATAATATTGATTTCTTTTGTAATCTGTATTTTTTCAATTATTCGTGGTTTTATAACTAGTTATTATTGTGAAAAAAGGAAAATAAATAAAAATGTTTTGAAATTGTGCTTAAATATTAAAATATTTCTTCTAAGAAATGCAAAAAACACTCAACATTTTCTTAAGGCATAGGTGCTTATGTAAACATTATTTTGACCTTACATTTCCACCTAGTGCTTCAACCTGTATAAAAATATAACTTAAACTTTGTTATTTTTACATGTAATTTAACTGTTAGTAAAATTGCTAGGTCTAATATAGGACTCCTGAATTAATGAAGAATGATAACTTTCATCGTAATTTTTACATGTAATTTAACTGTTAGTAAAATTGCTAGGTCTAATATAGGACTCCTGAATTAATGGAGAATGATAACCTTCATCGTAATTTTGATCTTTGAAGTATGAGAAGCAGAGGTTGATGATATGTTACCTTCTACTAGTGAAGGAAACGTTTTGAAGGCTGTGGTAGTTGCTGGTTAAATACATAAAACTTTACAGATGGTCATTAATTTAATTGCAGTGATTCTGCCTTTATTCTTAACATTCAGAAATATTTTCTAAGGAGTTTTTTAAGAACAAAATATGTGAATGTATTGGCATATTTATGAAATCTTATTTTATATTTAATTTAGGCTTGAGACGTCTAGCTGGTGGTCATTCCTAAGTGGTGTTTGATACCATCTGTTACCTTTTGAATTCTATATAACAAAAGAAATTTCCAAAGTTTAAATATCCATTTTCACAGTGTAAAACATCAAGTGGAAATGCATTTTGAAAATGTTTTCTTAAAATCTTCTTTGACATAAAAAGTTGCTAGTAGCTCCCAAATCAAATGTCTGGCTTACCCATGCCCAATATTCTTGCCTGCATTTTACCCATACCAACCTCTTACAGTATCTTTCTTACACACACCTCCTATCTGAGGCTCTCCATAGAAATCCTGAGGGGTTTTCTGCAGAGACCCTTGCCCATCTATCCTCCACTTTAGCCTGCATATTTTCATTGGCTCTAACATTGCATACATGGTTTCTTTGTTGTTGGGACCTTATAGGTTGTGGTGCTATTTTGGCTCAGGTTCATTTACCCTTGATATATCTCGGGGGATATAAGTATTGGTCCCATTTCTGAGACATTACATCTTTGATATGGTCCCAGATACTATCAAGCCTTGGGTGACATCGGTCCAACAATAATCCACCCTTACGAATATTTTAGCCTGTTGGTCTCAGTCAGAGCATCATGTGCCTCCAATTCCCATCCTTCCCCATCCCAGCCCTTACCCATTCCTTTTACTTGGGATATTTCTTCTTGTTGCCATTCTTGATGATACACCCTACCGCCCTTCACCAACAGTGCCGGTGATTACCCAGTGGGTTTGGTCCAGTTGAGTTTCTTCATCGCTGGCATCCCTTTGTCAACAATCAATGGGTGCTTCAGGTTCTGTCAGAAGGATTCATTTACCAGTTTCTTTCCCCACCTCCAATTTCACCTTTCCACATTTCCTTCCCTCCTCCTTGAGATACCATGACCAGCCAACATCTGTTCAAGAATTGCTATTGCAGAAGCAATTGAACCTGTTCCCCATCCAGGGTTTTTCATTCCCACTTTTTCGTTATCCCTAAGAAAACTGGAGATTGGTGGCCAGTAATTGATTTAACTTGCATCAACCACTTCATATCACTACCAAAGTTTACCATGGAGTCTTTTTTAACCCTAAGATGGGCATTTTTTCCAGGGTTGTGGATGACAAAAATGATGTCTCCAACACTTACCAACATATACCGATATCACCTCAGTCTCATCCATATCTTTGGTTTGTCCATCTCGAGATGGTTTATCAATTTTGTGCCCTCCCCTTCAGACTTGTCTCAGCACCTTACGTGTTTTGTCGAATAGTCCAGGCTTTTGCACATCATCTACATGCTCTTGGGGTTGCGATTTCATTATAACACTGACTACTTCTGGCTCATTCTGAACAGGAGTTGGCCAATCATACTTGGCAACTACTTTCTGTGAAGGCTCGGGTGGACTGGTTGATCAAATTGGAGAAGTCCTTCCTCACACCCATTCAATATTTTGTCCATTTGGGGATTTTTTTCAACACAAATATCAGTCGAACACTGCCTTTTCCTTTACAATTTCATTCATTGGAACTTTTGGTTCACCATGCCCTCTCAGCTCAGTCACTTACTGCATGTGAGGTTCTATCACATCTGGGGATGTGGTCTTCCGTGACAACACTGGTTCCTCTCGGTCATGCTCATATGATATCCCTTCAGTGGGAACTTCACAAACAATGGAACCTTGCTCAAGATCCTCTTTCCACTCCCATTTCCCTTCCTCCTTCCCTGCCAGACAAGCTGCATTTGTGGCTGGACAAAGCTCATACATTGATGGGGAGGCTGCTTCCTCCCCTGTGTCTGTATCTACATCTCTTCAAGGATGCATCCCTTGAGGGATGGGGGCATGGGTCAATTACCAGGAAGCTTTGGTCCATTGGTCTGTGGATGAAAGCACTTTGAATATCAATATTCTCAAACTTCTAGCCATACATCGGGCATTGAATCACTTTTTTCTTCTCGCCCATCATTGTCTGGGGATGGTTCATTCAAACAATTCTATGGTGTTGGCACATATCAACTACCAAGGGGGCACTTAGGACTAAGATCTATGTTTTTGGATGTTGTATCTATTATACTGGGCCCACACACATCACATTTGCCTTATTGCATGTCAAGTGCTAGGTGCTTTCAATATGGTTGTAGATCATTTTTCACGCCCCCAACTGGATATATCTCACGGAGTGGGCATTAGATCCTCTCATTTTCAGGGATCTTTGCCATCAGTGCGATTCTTTGCTATGGTCCTCAAAACCAAGTTACCTCCCCTTTTGGTTACCTGTTCCTCATCCACAAGTTCTGGCATTCAATGCCTTCAGCCAGAATTGGTCACACAAGCATTTTTATGTGTACCCACTCATCTGATTACTTCATTT